GTAGGTGATACTATTACCTATGAAAAATTTGAAATCACTATAATTTTAGCTTTTTAATAGTAATAGGAATCTATAATAACAAATTCAACATGCCAGCATTGTTTAAGTATATGTATAGCCTATACATCCTTAACCGACAATCCTTCTGAATAATTTCTTTAGTCGTTTACCAATATATTATCGTGGGACGCAACGAACAAGGTTTTAGCAATACTATGAGACAGAGAAAAGCAACAGGCAAAAGAAGAGACACGAATTCTAGTCAGAGTCGATTCATGCTGGCATTCCGAAAGATTGAGAAGATTATTTCGCAAAGCAGATAATCTCAAGTTGCAACATGCATCGGCCAGAATCATGAACTCGTTCTAAAGCTCGTCCTTTTTTTTAGACCCGACGATCATCATTCCTCCATTAAACATATAATTCTAAATATTTATCCCCGAAAGGAAACAGGAAAATGGTTCGTCAATTTTATCACACAAAGAAAGACGTGAAATTAACTTAAAGCATATTCCGAATTGTCAGTCTGAAAAATGTAATTGTGAAGATACATTTTGAAGTAAAGCCCATCGGACGCGGTGCGTTCCCGGGAGTAGAAAGAGAGCCGCGACGCAATCTTGGTTTTTAATGGCGCACGCTTTAAGAGCGATCCGGAGGAGGGAAAGAAAAAATAAAACGATCGGCTTCGCTTTTAGTCGCGTCTGGTTTTGCGCGCGCTCTTACCGGAGCCGCGCCGATGCAAATGGCCGCGGTAGCAGCAGCAGCTAACAAGATTGCACGTGGACATTCCATCGTCGAATGGACGCGGCTACGCTCGCGTCTCGATAAATCTACGTTCCATCCTGGAACCGCGCCGCTGTAATTACGCCCGCGGAATTTTCGTAATGGAGAACACGCCGCTCGCTATTTTATACATCTATAACTGTGCCGCGGCACTCGCTGCCGCAGATTTCAATTACACCGCGTGGTTACCGCTTCGATTAATCCAATGAGATTTTAGGTGACTCCAGTAATGATCATAATTATAAGAAGACGATTGACGGTCGAGAGACGTGAGATAGATAATAAAATGATATAGAAATCCTGGTAGAACGGTTGAGTGATCTCATCGATCGTTTACATCTGGTGTAAGAAAATGGAAAAGTACGTATAAAAAACCAGTTCCATCGCAATTATAACAATTACACCGACCTTCCTCACCCAGAAACCCTATCAGCCGGACAAACAAGTAAAAAAACGTGGCCCATCCATCATTTCGAGACAAAGGGAGCCACACGATGGATCGCGTTATCCGCTCGTGGAAAGCAAAGTCCTCGAAAACGGCTGTTTGTAGAGGGACACGGGTCAAAGGTCGGCGATAACCAACCGGGTAAAGAGAGGGACAGTGTCCGATGGACCCCCCCTCCAGGGCATGGGGAGCGGCAGATGGATCCGACAATAAATAAAACGGCGCGCGTCCACCGGAGAAATCGCGATCACGCGAAAGAGAGGCCGCCATTATGCGCGGCTCCGGCACAAAGGGGAAATAATTAGCGCTGGCCGGCTGATAAGCCGGCCAATCTAGCCGTTTGTCATTAGCCTATCAAAGCCCGAATACCCGGGGAGCTTGCTCTTTTGCGCGAGACCGTTTCGCCTCGGGTTTTCTCCATTCGCGTTTTACCGCTTGGCGATATCTACCCAGCTCGTCGGACCTTCGCCCGGATACCGACACGCCTCCGGCGCCGCGGGAAATATGTGCGAACCACCAGCGGAGCAATTAGTACCGCGATTCGCGCGCTAATCGCCCCGCGTTGCCTACCCTGCGTGCCGCTGAATCGTTTCTCTTCTCTTAAACCAGAAAATCCGCAAATGGCGAACACGGACAAAAGGTTTTTAAACGAATTCAGATGAATTTCTCCAAATACTATCTATTTGTCAAAAGTCCAACAATTGATTCAATGATAAACGTCGAATAATTCCAATGAAAAAACCATCGTCGTTTGAGACGTTCTAAGGGTGTACATTTTCTAATGGTTTCTGTCGACGGTGTCAGCGGACCTCGTATAAGCGAAGAGAAAGGCACCGAAACGACGTCCGACTTACATACGTATCGTGCCGCGTGAATTGACCGGCCAGATAAAGCAAGGGAGGGAGAGACAGGTAGAAGCAGGAGGCGGAGGAGGAGGAGGAAAGTGAGAGAATATCCTGGCCGACACAGAAGCCGACGCTGCTAATGACTCTGTCCGCGGTAATCTCCGGGTGTTATCTGTCCTGGCTACCTGGGGCCCACCTACTTCGAATCACGAACCTTGCACACGCTCCTCCGCCTCGTTCCCTCCGGATCGGACGCGCGTCCGGATGAACGTCGCCTGGCTTTTTCAGCCTCCTTCACGATTATTCCTCCAGCCTGATTGCTCGGCTCCAATCGTTTAAGGAGATGTTGTAAAGTTGGAAGGGAGAGACCAATGCCAGACGTGGTCACTTCTCTTTTAGTATTTAAGTGCCAGACATGCATCGCATGAAATCATTTTTCTCCGACCGTGCGAAACGCTATTCACTGATTCCATTAAAATATTTTAATTTGTACAACCGTAAGGTTGTATTAATTGAATAAAAAATTCATACTAAACTCAATTTTTGGACCAATGATTTCTCTGAACATTGAATATAGGCGAGATGGAATTGATTTTGTTATAAGATTATATGAGATGCAAAGCGAATAAGCAGATTTGCAAGCGTAAAGGCGTCTGAATAAAGGCGCTAGAAAAAACGAGCGTGGAAGAGAAAGCGCGGGGTGTAGAAGAAGACTCTCCGGTCTCGGAAGGCTGTGTGCACCGCAAACTAACTGCGCACAGTTGCCTTATGTACGGAGTCTAAGTAATCCTCGAACCATCAGCTAACTTCTTAACCCTCAAAGTGAAAAGGGCCGCCTCGAGGAAGCCAGCCGAGGAGGTGAGGATGCCAAGGAAGAGAAAAGACGCGGCCAGGGAGGCGAGGGGGCGGGGAGGGGTGACCGTCGAGTGCTCCTCTCTTTGTCTCCGCGTTTGTCCGCTTCTCACGCCGCGCGAGTTTCCGCGCGGTGGAGAACCCGTCGATGACGACGTTCGCCGAACCCCGAGCCAAGTTTGTTTGCCCTTCTGTACGATCGGTTGACCAAACAACGCGGCCAGGACACGCACGCGCGTCTCGGAATTCCTTTTCTCGTCTCTTGAAATCTTCCCCTCCCGATCTGTCGGGTCGTCTTGGCCGAGTACGAAGCTTTTACCAGGAATCAGTGTTTGACATTGTTTCGTTTTAACGATCTATATTTTCAACGCTGATTAAGTTCGAATAGGAGCCCTAATTAATTTCTGACAAAAGACTGGGCAAAGGAACCGCCTGAAATGAGTCGCACGTATCCAAAAAAAGATGCTCGGCAATTAAGCCGCACCCTGGCTGCGCTAATCGGCGAAGGGGGTGAGCCCTCCTTTGCCGCGAAAAAAGCGGAAAGAAAGGAAAGACGAGACACCGAGAGAAGCTGTAAGAAGAGAGAAGACGTTAAGCTGCACGCGTTGGACGAGGGAACCGGACGGCGGGGCTGAAGAAGGGGTGGACGAAAGGGTGGCGGGGAACAGTGGCGCCACCTCGGCAGGAAGCGGCAGCGGCAAAGGCGTGCAGAGGGTCCTCTCGGGGGTGCGAGAAAGAAAAGGCGAGGCGAGGCGCCGCGACGGGGGATGGAACCACGGAAGAGGAGAAGCAAGGAGGAGGTGGTCGTCCTGGTATCGACCGGCTGGAAAAGGGGTGGATTTTTCTACCCCTGGGCGGAGGACCAGCGTCGGGGGTCGTGTTCTGGACTCGATTACGACTAGCCCACCTCTGATCTTCAAATACACACGCGTACACTCTTTCCCAGATCAAAATCATCTTCGTTCACGACATTTCCCATCGTCGTATTAAACGAAGAAATTCTTTTATTCGGCACGACTTGAATTAAAAGCTCCACTAACAATAATTCAATTGAACATTCTCG